CCCCAAAACCCCAAAACCCCAAAACCCCGTAGGAAAGTTACTGGATTGAAAATTTTATTCAAAATTATAGCTCCCTTCTCTCAGCAATGGTGGTAGCAAGCCTATTTGGAGATACTCTTTGGCTAGCAGCTTTGTATCTTATCTTATAGCCAACTTTGCTAACTTTTGGTCCGTCAAATTTTAGCCTAACAATATCATCAGTACCTAAAATAGTCAGAAAATTGATTACCTAAAGAGATCCTTTGACTAGCAAAATTAGCGAAGCCATATTTCTGCGGTGCCTTTTTAAAAGGATTATTATGCTTAATGCTCAGTTCAAAGTCAAAAGTGCTCTTGAAAATTTTCTTTTCTCTATTCTTAGTGGTCTCCTTGATCATGCTTTTGAGCTCCTTTGAGTTGGCATATCTCAAACTAGTAAGAAGAGGTCCTTCATTTCTCTTCTTTTGAAATAAAGGATTTAATTCAGTTTTTATCTAAAAAGGTTAGTCAAGAATCTACATAAAGGCTTTCTTTCTTCTATGGAATGTCTTAGGTTGCCTAAAGAGGTTACAGAGAATATCTACATTGGAAGCTGGTTATTTTCATAAATTTCCGCTAGAATTTTGGTTCAGTGTTGGCTTCTGGTTTCTCAATAACCTCTTTGGTCTGAAACTGGACATTTTATTCTCCGTTCTTAGAAGACTCTTGTCCATATCACTATTTTGGTCATAGAAAGAGTTGTTTAGATAATTAGTAGTTGCTATCCGAGAAGATTTATCATTGTTTAACATTGATTGTGACTCATTAAAATTTCTCTGTCGACGAGCCATAATTTTCTCTATAGTTTATTCCCCCAAAAGTACCTTTAAGAGCATCAAATCTTTCTTTGATGACTGAGCTATTTATCTCCTTTATTTTTGGTTTCAAGTTCTTAGGAGAAGCAAGAATTTTCTTCCCTTTATAAACAGGTTTTATCCTTGTCTAAATTTTAAGATGTAAAACTACCTGCATTTTAGTATACTTGGATACCAGATTGACCCTCTTGGCTCTCTTCTTGCTCTTATTCTTCAGGACTATTTTCATACCCATCTTTTTAAGCCCTTTAACGACGAAGTTAAAGATTGAAACTTTGAGAATGTTTAGAATATTGTCGATAAAATTTTCAGGAAGATTCTTATCCTTCAATAATTCAGCAGTATTTTTTTTCGTATCCATGAAAGTATCGAACTTCTTTTGGGTCTTAGAGGTCTTCTTTGACCCTTTTGATTCTCTTTGCAGCGGCTGGAGGCCTCTCTTAGCTCTAATAGAGTCAAGTGTAGTATCGAAGTTATTTTTCAAAAAGGATAAAATGCGAGATCTTTTTCCAATTGGTCATTTTATTTTCTTCATCTTGCTGCTTCTATACAAATTTATCAAAATGAAAGCCTACAATGTAATCAGGAACCGGAAACTTCATTTCAGCCCTCCAGTCTTTGATCCTTTTAGCCTCACCCTGTTCATTATCTTTGGATGAGATTTTCTCTCGGCTCTGAGAATTTGAGGACTGCAATGGGACTCTTACTGAATCATTTTCTCTTTTATAACGATAAATTTTATTTTTGAATTTTTAAGCCTCAAGGAAAAGATTGAGATTAAAGGAACAGGAGAAGATATTTTGAAGGAAGTTTTTCAAGATTTTATAACATCTACTTTAAATACAACAATCTATTATTCTTCACCTGAATCACTCTTTTTACGATAAACTTTATCTACTTGTTTTTAAGAGTAAAGAAAATAACTAACAAACCTTGATCCAAAAGTGCTTCTTTTGTGAGAGAATGTAAGATCGATGCTTGCTGAATCAGGTTCACTCTAGAGGTTATCCACATGTCTACTTACCATTTTCGATTCAATTATTTGTTAACTCCGAGGGGTTTTGGGGTTTTGGGGTTTTGGGG